CCCCCAGCTCGAGAGCGGGCGGAGGAGCGCAGCCTGGCGTTTAGCTGCCACGCGAACGATGGGAAACACAAACTCTACGTACCCCAAAATAGAATAATTCCACCCCAAGCAGAATATTTATCCCAAAAAGCAGCGAGTCCTCCAGCGCTGGCACCGTACCGCGCCGGGGAGGGTCTGGGAGCTTTGCTAACCAAAGCTGCGAGCTCCTCACCTGCTGATGGTCCAGCATGGTCAAGCCTTTGACGCCTGCCAAGATGAGATTCTTTGCCACTTCTGCTCCGAGACCCTTCATCCCCACCAGCAGCACCCGGGAAGCTCGTAACCTGCGGCGGAAAGACCCGGTCAGCGTTAACGGCTCGGCTGGAGCGTCCCCCGAGGGGCTGGGGCGAAGGGGAACGGGCGCTCGGAGGGAAAACACGGCGGGTAAATACGGCTGGGGGGGAAAGCCGCGCTCCTCCTCGGCATCCCTGCCTGGGGAAAAGCAGGTTTAACACAATTTGGAAGCAAGGAGAGAAACGCGCAGGCTGGCAGGAGCGGGTAATTCGGGAAAATTCACAGAAAAAGAGCGTTTGCAGCTTTGGAAGAGGGAAAAACACCGAAGCGTTGCGCTGCTTTTCAGCGAACGCGGCGCGGGGGTTGTGGGTTCACCACAACGCGCACTTCGGGGTGCCCAATATCCTCCCCAAAAAAAGGCTGGAGCTCCTCCTCATGTAATTAATTACAATTAATGGGAAATTAATACATTTTGGTGTGTACTTATGCCAGCACAAAACTGTGCGTGCACATTTTACGTCTTCCGAATAACTGACCGATGCGTTTTCCTCTCCTTTTCTAATTTAGGTATTTAGGTATTCCCCTTGGCAGTCTGTTATCGATTAGTCCGTATCAGTTTTCCGACAAAATCAAGTTTACTCAGCACCGAGCGACAATCCGGGCTGTTAAACAGAGAGGCTCCTGCTTTTTTGGCCTATTTTCACGCCCGCTTTTATCTGCATCCAGCAACATCATTATGTTCGTCCTCATATTTTGGGGTTGTTCCACCTTCTCCCCAACAAACCCCATTGCTGCTTCCTGGGGAACACCTAAGAAATTGGAAATGAGCAGAAATCTGGACAGACCAGAGAAAAGGACCACAAAAAATAACTTGAAAGCTGAAAAAAAAAAAAAAAAAGCCCCTATAGAGAAAACAGGGGCTGAGCAAGAGGGTTTCTAGCAGGGAAAGACCCAGGAACTGGCGGGTGGGAGCAGATGCTTTGCAATTCCAGCTGGGAATGAGTCGGAAGCCATTTACCTTTCCCGCCCCCCTACCCCCCCCCCAGCTTCAAC